CAAGTCCCAACTGGCTGGCTGCTAGATAGTTTCAAGACTCGGTTTCCTGTCAATACTTCCTCCGAGTGGTGGGTAGCTAGGCCACATCATCGTGCTCAGATAGGTTGTATACAGGATTAGCTTTTGTACTTTATTCCATAGTTCGTATATCATGACGACTGATTTTCCGGAGACACCTCGCTATTCCATTCCACAGAACTGCCTTGGCTTGAAGTCCCTAGGGTTAGGGTTATGTCTCCGTGATTGTTTGCGAAAGGGTTCTTTTCACTTGTGGCGCAGCAACGTAATTTGATCCCTGTACGAAACCTAACACATTACCATTAGACCATGTCCTTGCCACCGCTTCCCCCGTACATTGTCACTGACATCAAATAATTGATACATCGCCCATTTTCGCGGAGAGCTGGCCAAACCCGCAAACACCGATGAAACAAATTGACCTGCCAACGGAAAAGGAACGAAAAACAACAAACCATGAATTCGTTATTGGAGTCACTACCGCTGGAGCTACTCACCCAAATTACGGGAAGCTTAGAGCAGCGGAACATCTCGGCCTTAATGCGAACGTCCAGAAAGCTCTATCACAACTTGGAGTCTTCGTTGTACCGCTCAAAGGAGGCGCGGAACAGGGCACTGAGATGGGTCTGCACTCACGGCCATGTCAACATTATCCGTCGCCTCATATCGGTCTATGAGTCATCTCCGAGCGTGGTTGATAGAGGAGGTTTGACGCTCAATCTTGCCCTCAAAGCGCAACAACTGGATGCATTTCAGCTTCTTTTGCAGCTTGGTGCCGGGATCGACGGCCAACACGAAAACTCACATCAGCTAAGAACTCTGGTCAGAGAACTGTCCTGCTCTTCCGCCAGTTCTGAGTTTGCACGCGCCTTCTTCAAAGCCGGTCGGGCTGCTCAACTGCCGCGTCGATTACTCGACGTGTCGCTGATGATGATGGTCAGACACCAGCTTCCAGTTGATCTGGTAGAGTTGGTGCTCAACCATGGGGCCAGTGTCAACAAGTCTCATTCTGTTCGGATAGGCTCGGAGAAGACTTGGGCAAATCCGTTATCGGCTTCTATTCTTTTCAACTCAAGACCCGTGTTTGATCTTCTCCGCAATCGCGGCGCCTCCATTCATGGCACCGTGGTCAATTATCCGCGACGAAGGCCACTTCATATTCCCATCTACGCGGCGGCCTATTCCATTTTGGAGCACGGGACACATATGTTCCAGTCTTGCCTCGACAACGGAGCTGATATCAATCACGGTGCGGTTTTATCCACGAGAGCCGCCTCCCGTCGATACCACTACGGCACCCCTCTGCTCGGCTACCTTGACTCGATTGAGTCGTGGCCTGTAGGGACTAACGTCGGCAGTGGCGGGGGTCCTCTCGACCACCTCGGACATCTTTTGAACAGCGGGGCCATTATTTCCGACAATCTACCCACGGTTCCTTTCCCAGGCCCTCACGGTCGCCCGCATGACCAAACCGCGCCTCACTCCAGTCTTCATCTCCTCCTGGACAACATGAAGGGCAATCTCAACCAACTTGCCGATGCTCAATTCCAGGCTGTTGCAAAGCTGCTAATTCAGCACGGCGCATTGTCAGGTAGTGGTGACCCCAAGGTAGCAGCAGAGCGGATCAAACGGCTTCTTCTGGACTACGATCATGGCCACCGGGGCGCCACGTACCCCGCCTCTGTGGTCCAGGCCTGGCGCGCCTTTGTTACCCTCCTCCTTGACAGCGCATGCAGTCTAGATGAGACAAACGGCCATGTTCGCTGGCAAGACGCTCTGCTCTCGGATTACATTTACGATCGCGGCACAGATTCGGGCCAAGCTCCCACCGATCTCACGTTTGAGGCTATTTCTCTGCTTATATCACATGTCGGCGCAGATATCAACGCTACACCGTTGCCGGTGCTTCACAGACTGTGTCACTTCTATCATCTAATGGAAGCTACGCATAACATCGGACCCAACGACGCCTACGAGCGCCACCATTCCCACGGAATCGCGGATCAGCGGAGGCGATTGGTGAGCGCTTTGGTCGAGAAGTACCGTGCAAACCCGGACCTGAAAATCTCTGCTGAGAGTCCGGGAGAAGGTGGGGGCCCAGGGAGAACAGCCGAGGAGATCCTGCTTAGCGAGTGGGAGGGGTTGGAGTACTCAGAGACAGGCAGACGGTTCATCGCGGCCTTGGTTGAGGATATCAAGGATGGAAATCGTTGAACCTAGCATCATTCCGTAATGAAAGATTTGACCGGCAAAGCCTGTCTTGGTAGTTGTACTTGAATTATGTAGATCTTTCTATTCTTGACGTCGTAATAAGGATGCGCCACCCCGCTTGTACATGAAGGCAATTTCCCAAACCACGTCCTATGTCGACTGAGTACGTGCGCATATCACTAGTTTATCGTCCAGACCTTCTTGCTAGCCGTCGTCACTGCTACGTACTATGCGTTCTTTTTCGGTTCCCCTTAAATCCCAGGATGAGCCCCTTGTTCCTGGACGCATTAACCAATCATCTCAGAGTCCGAGCTGCGCCACGAATCCCTTGGCCGATGCTACCATGGGAACTTGAATCCTGCCGTAACCTTATCACAGGTGCGATGTTTAAGTTCTGATGAAATGACATGAGACGAAAATCCTGTTGCTACGCTCTACACCCGACTGCCTATTTGGTTTCCCTACGTGGGTGAAATATTAGCGAAACGCATTACTCAGGTACCCGCCCTTGCCGCCGTACCATGATGCTGGGTCGATTCTGCCTCGCAGAATTCAATACCACCTTCCGCCTCCCATGGAACCGGGAACGGAGAAAATGCTTCTTTCTGCCGCAATTCAAGGTAGGAATGAATTGTTCACTCCATGGAAAACCCAGTGCCCCGGTGGCAATCCTCCAGGACCACTATGGCAATATCCACAATAAGGCTACAGCTTACCAATGGCTCGTAGTCGTGGGTCAAGTCCGAGAGAAGTAACATTACCTCTGGGGGAAGTGGAATGAGCAACACACCACCTGGCAAGGCGGAAAGAAGCCCATCTGGAAACATGTTCACATCGCGTGGTTGAACGGCAAGATGGCTTCACATATTAAGGGGTCCATCGTATGGCTCTCCCACCCAACTTGCCCATCACTGCAGTGTGAAACTGTCACTTAGTCAATCGTTCAAACCTCCAAGCACACCATGTCTCTCAGATCTCTTGTGGCAGCGGCCGTCCTCAGTTCACCTGCCTTGGCATGGCTGGTCGACCCTCCCACGACTGCCCCGGCTGATACGGTTCAAGACTGCACCTTCTGGACAGTTGCCGGGTCGAGCGACACGTGCCGCAGTCTGGCCGACGACAACTTTATTTCCGTGACGGAATTGCACCGATGGGTTAGTATTCCATGTTTGCAAATTCCCCCGGTCCTCGGTGGATATTCTGCTAACGACTGTCCAAACAGAATCCCTCCCTGGCAGCGACGGGCTGCCCCGTCATCTCGGGATACTCGTACTGTGTCGAGAAGAATTACGGACAAGACGCTCCCGTGAGCACTCCCAAGACCACGACTACTGCGCCCATCACCACCACCAAGACAACCACACCCGCTGGGCCCACCACCACTGGTAATGGCATCACCACTCCCTTCCCGGTTCAGACCGGCATGGTGGGCAACTGCAACAAGTTCGTCTTCGTCAAGGAAGGCGACGGGTACTGTGGTGACATTGCCGCCAAGAATGGCGTCTCGCTGGCCAACTTTTACGCCTGGAATCCCGCGGTCGGATCCGGCTGTGAGGGTCTCTGGTTGGAGACCTACTATTGGTAAGTATTTCTGATCGTCTCTGCCTATTGATCAACTCTTGCTAATATCTGAAAAGTGTCGGGATTATTGGCGGCCCAGCCCCGATTACAACCACCACCAAGCCACCAGTTACTACTACGACCACTACACCTGGGAATGGCATTACCACACCCATGCCCACCCAATCCGGCATGGTGAGCAACTGCAACAAGTTCACCATGGTCAAGGAAGGGGATGGGTACTGTGGCGACATTGCGGCTAAGAACGGCATCACTCTGGCCAACTTTTACGCCTGGAACAAGGGTCTCGGGTCCAACTGCGAGAATCTCTGGTTGAATGTAAGTTTCCCATCAAACTCTGACCCCATGAACCGACAATTCGGAGCGCAAACTGACATTTTTGCCTCCAAAAAGACTTACTACTGCGTAAACATCGTCGGTGGGACAACCCTCAAGCCCACAACCTCTACCCCAAAGCCGACAACCACGACAACCAAGGGCAATGGGGTCGCCACACCCACCCCTTTCCAGACTGGAATGGTCACCAACTGCAAGACGTTCCATAAAGTCGTGGCTGGCGATAATCTCTACTGCGCCGATATCGCGACCAAGTACAAGATCACCTTGGCAAACTTTTACAAGTGGAACCCTGGTGTGGGCAGCAACTGTGGCTCCCTTTGGGGGGGTTATTATGTTTGTGTTGCGACTCTTTGATGTTTTCTCGTTCTGCTAAGTGAAGCCCTCATTGTGAGGTAACCTTCTGCCTTGTTGGGAAGATAATAGGCGGAGCGAGTGAATGAATGTTGGGGGAGGGGGGGGGGGGGTTGCATAGACTTTGTTTCTCAGATATCAGTACTGTACATAGTTGATGAGCTAGAGATGTAAATATGATGTTTGTGCTTCCTTCTGCATAGAAAAGGAAATATGGTTGTCAGGCAGTTCGATTTGTTGAAGAAACCGTATATCGGATATGAGATCATTGAGATGATATGACATGGCCCTTTGTCCGACGAGCTGTCCTTGAGGTTGTGCGATCTTTGTCGAGTCTTTATCAGAACAAGCTTCTTTGAAATTGTGGACAATAGTTTTGTTTAAAGTCCAGGTTTATAAACAGACACCAAATGTACAAGAGACGAGATTAACGATCATCAGCTCATTTACAAGTTCTGAAGGACTCAAAAAAAGAAAGAAAAAAGCGATAATCCACGATAGCCCAGATGGTGTAGCGGTAGCATGTTCACCTTCCTCTATCTATCTAATGAAATGTGCATACCGTATACCCCTGTATGTGCTATATCCCAGATGATGGAGTAATGTTTGAAAGGCGGTGGGTTCGACTCCCACCCTGGGCAGGCTCATTCCTTTTTCTTTGTCTTACTTGGTATTCCTTCGTTTGTTTTGGATTAGTTGGTCACCATGATGCTTTGGGTTGAGGGTCTTTTGGGAACAGACAACAAAACTTTCTCTGCAACTGTGAGACCCCCGTTACGGACAGATTTTGAACACAATCCTTTCTCCAACATAGAAGAAACATCCATCCATCATTTTCCCCGCTTGGCAAATAGTAGAATTCCTCCACCACTTGCCTTGTCACTTGGCGTAAATAAAAAGATTATTCAATCAACAAAACCCTTGATCAAACGACCACCTCCAACCCACACCGGTGAGGTCCCGCAACTGCAGTGCCGCCTTCTCACTCCCTAACAGCCATCCCCATCGCCCGGCTCCCCGCCAACCCCACCAGCTCAAAATGCTGCACCTGCTGCTTCCCCGCCGAGTTCCCCGAGACCCGAACAACCGTAACCGCCGCCGGTGTGGTTCCATTACCCGGTGAAAGCGCATACAAGAAATCGCCCGAAGCCCGCAGATCAATCAATCCCGGATCATTATTCACCTTGCTCAGATCAATCTCGCCCAGAATACTTGCATCGGTGAGACTCATTTCCACGATGCGATTCACACCCACGTCGGTAACGAATGCCGTGCCTGTCTTGGCGGAAATGGTCGCCCAGCAGGTTGCCTTTTGGCCTTGGACTGTTCCTTTGCCTAGGACGGTGGCTTCGCCTGTGGTGGGGTTGACTGAGAGGACGGCCGCGCCGAACGAGGCGTCTGTTGCGAAGACTTTCGATCCATTACCGTTACCGGGGATGGACTGAGACCCGAACAACACCGCTGTTCCGGCTGGTGAACTTCGTTTTTCTTGGGTCGAGACAGCTGAGATGCTGGACATTCGACCCTGTGGCAAGCGCTGTTGCATCTTTGTCACCGGGAAGGAGGAGATGAAGCCTGTCTTGTTGGTAGGCGGGTCTCCCTTGACTGTCGCGAAGACGGTCAATTCGTCGGCTGAGAAAAAGACCTGGGAGACGGTGTTTGTTGGCCCGACTGGGGGAGTGGTCTGCCCGAGGTCGAATGGGCGAAGGGCATCCATTGCGCCCAGCTGGTTGCGCGAGAACTTGGCGCATGAGACGCCCGCCAGTTTGCCTGATGCGCCGACGCATACGAGGCGGTTCTTGAGGGAGGCTGTGACGGTGTTGGGGAATTCCCCTGGGACGGCGACGGGAGTGCCGATTAGAGAGAGGCGTGTCGGATCGCTGGGAGAGATGGAGAGCATGCTTAGGGTGTTGGAGCCGGCGTTCACGGCGAATATAAACTGGTACATCAAATCTTGTTAGCAACTGCTTTGGAGGGCTGTACAGGAAAGGTGCTGTTCCGGCGTCCCGGTGAGGCCGTATATGGGTAGCTCACATTTCCAACCACCGTCAAAGCAGACTGGCTGACCAAGGCATCGGGAGTTGCTGGCTGGTTGTCGCTGTTCAGCGCCACTGAGCCTGCGCCATTGGTTGAAGTCAGGCTTCCCGGTGATAGCTGGCCGTCGGCTCCGATGCGCAAGGATACCACCCCGTTGGCCTCGTCGTTGGTGATTAGGTAGAGCGCCTTTCCTGCTCCTTGGACTGGATTGCCGCCGGGGCATTTGGACGCAGCCCCTGAAGTGGCGAGGAACGACAGCACTAGGGCCCAGGAGGTTCGCGATATTAAAGCCATGTTGTAGAGTGCAAAGGACCTGCCACGGAGCTTCTCAAAAGCTTACTCGAAAAGGTAGTGGGCAAAAGACGTGAAGAATGATTGTGAATGGTAGGGAAACTCTAAACGAGAAGTGTATTGTGATACTACTTATAATGTGAAGGGTATTGTTCATCCCGACGATGGAATCCACGGCTTATGTACTTGATGTTTTGGCTCCATGTTGACTATCGCTAGGCCTGACAAGGACCTTTTGTCAGGCTTTGGGGGGTTCAAACCGGGCTGTAACGCACTTCAAGTCGGAGGTTTTGTGGTTTGGAAATTAGTTCGAGAAATCTAAATGAACATCATCAGTGTCCAATACCTACATATAAAGCATCTTCCTTACAGCCGGGGTTTTGTTTAGAAAATGCACCTATTAAGTAACAAACATTAAAGTGGTCCCAGATTGCCATGATTGCCGTCGCAGCCTGATCCACATGATCACCATATCAAGATCTCCGATTTTGGCCAAGAAAGTTGGGAAACCCCGGATTCAAGGAGGTGTAACCAGGGTTTCGGATTGTAACGTTCATCCCGAAACGGAAAGTTTGGATGACAGAACAGGATTTCCTCATTCGGTCATCAGCCCCTGAGCCCCGAGACAGCCAACCCCAGGTCGCAGATGTGACAGGGGTATCTGCACGGCAGATCAGCGGCGTAGCATCAGGGACTTCTGTGGATTACTGATCATGCTGACTTCCAGTTAAGGTTTGCTCCTCCAGCTCGAGTCACCGTGTTCTCTCAAGATCGCGGACAGGAAAAAAAAGCCCACAACCCGCACTATTATTGCCAGTGCGATCAACCACCACACTATTGCCGACCATGTCAGTCAACGTCTTTCGCTTTTTTCGACCAACTGGAGGTACGTGCTCGACCGCGGCAAGTACCGGCTTATGACAGAGAATAAGCTAAACATTTTCCGTACCTGCAGAAGAAAAGGAGGAAAAGTCCGAAAAGCGCCGTGCCCAAGTACGTCGCGCGCAACAGTAAGCCCGGCCCCCGCATAGCACTCTGCATGTATCCTATCCCATGACACACGAATTAACACTGATGACATGGGGCTTTATTTAGGACATACCGCCTTCGCAAGGACCAGTACACCCGAGCACTCGAGAAAGAAGTCTCCCGCCTGCGATCAGTGGAAGCAGATCTAAGTCTCGAAATTCAACGCCTGCGCGATACTGTTAGCTCACAGCAGCGTCTCCTCGCAAAGGAGAACTCCTGGGGCGACCTGTGGGATTATGTGGCCAATGATGAACATGTCTCGAGGGAAACCGGGATCTCACCCCTATCCGACCAAAGTCAACTCGCTGCCCTGAGCGAAGTGACGCTCGACTCACAATGGACTGCGACAGTCACATCGCCGAGTGAGCGTGGGCAGCCCGCGCTGCCTTTTGCATTTGAAAGTCGCCCGGCTCCTGGTGAATCGATACCACCGGCGTCGCAGCACCCTAAAGCTCGAGATTGCCAACCCGGTCCCTCCTCCGAACTAACAACCACTGCGATGGAATTTGTCCTGGCGTAAGTGCCCAATCTTCTGATTACTTAGCTATGCTTCCATTGAGAACCCAGATACTCACCTCTTCTGCACTTCACTTCAACAGCCTAGAGTCACCCTGCCTCTCACACATCCACGGCGATCCTTCCACGCCACACCAAGCAAACGGACACGCCCTGACAACTTCTTCTTATGTCTTGTCACTTTCGCCTCAATTGCCGTCATCTTCTCAGTCACCTTCCACCTCTCTTGAATCGAACAAAGCTGCAGTCATCAGGGGCCTTGACTCCGCGCCACGAAATATTCTCGACCGACTGCTCGCCCTCTCGACGAATTTCGCGCTAGAGGACGAACTTACGCCTATACAAGCATGGAAGCGGATCTCGGCGCAGATGGGAAGCATGAGAAACCCGAGCACGAACGGCAGCAAGAACGGACAGCTTGAGTGGTCGTTGAAGGAGCTGGTCAGGAGGTTGAGCGGAACGATCAAATGTCATGGGTGAGTGTCTGTCGAGAGATCCCAGTATCTTCCGTTCTCCGCTAACTGTATTCTCAGCTTCGGTGCAGTCCTGAAGGTAGATGTGTTTGAGAAAGTGGTAAGGGACGTGATGATAGGGCAAGGCTGGGAGAGTGTTGGTGCAGGAGGAAATATAAGCGGCGCAAGGCAGCTTTTTATATAATCACAAGACGCAAACTGGGGCAGCAAATTATAGGATCTTGAAAGAAGTACCATTATCATCGCCCAAAAAAAAACTACTTCTCTGCTTTAATCTTCTCGTGCAATCTTAAACGGCCCGAGTCTCATCTCCCTTGGCCTCATCTTGCACCGACTCATCGGCAGGCTGGCTCTCTGGCTGCTCCTGGGGAGCCTTGGTCTCCTCCGAACTTGGCGTATTGCCCCAGGTGAGAAGGTTCGTATTGCCCGGGAAACACGACGGGAAATCCACGGCAGAGGTGAAATAGGAACGCGGGTTCACAGTTGCAGCGATGGTGATGATATCACTATTAAAAGCGGCGTCGGCGACGCGTCGAAATTGCCTGACGGCATGCCATAGTGCGTGAAGATCCTGCAAAGAAGGCATTGAATATTAGCACGCACTCGTCTTGCCAGCATATTCCGTGGTTGATTCAGAAGGCATGCATTGCTGAGAATCTATCAAGGTGCCGCGGCCTGTGAAAGGGCTCTTCAAAGGCATGACATATACGTGGATCGTCGATAGGCCTTGATATATTCTCACCCAGAAGTGCGTCTGTGTGATGGGAGAAATGATAGAAAACACTTACGTTGACCTGACTGGCCTTTATGGCAGGTGAAGTTTCAGACTCCCAAGTTGCCTGAGATCTTACGAGTTAAACAATAAGATCGCGCCTACATTTCTGGTTAGAATCTCAATGACAAAGTAGGGCAGTCAGGCAGAGGACGCGTAAAAATGTACTCACCACGCCGGAAGGGGAACCGCAGCGGCTAGAGCGATGTGCGAGGCAGGCCGTCCAATGGCTCCAGCGCGCACGTTGTCCAGCCATCCAATGACATCATCGGCGGGCGGGTTTGAAGAAAGGTGGTCGAAGACGAGGACCAGGACCCGGTCGACACGAGCACGATCACTTCTTTGGAGAAAAGTGCGGCCGGTGACTTGGACGAGACCACGCAAAACTTGACTATCATGTTGATCGTTGAGTAGGACACGCGGTCGGGAGCTGTACACAAATCCAATGCGGGGCAAAAGTGTCAATGAGGTAGGTGTTTGCTCCAGCCATGGTGACGAGGTCAAAGATTGCTTTTCGGGGACC